ACTCAGAATATGTCTGAAAGTTTAGATCAAAATCAGCACGAGGGCAAAAATAGTAGTTGTGTATATATACTGTCAACTAAGTAGACTTTTGAGATCTTCTCAAACACAACTGAGTATTGTTTCCATATATTAACTGTGAAATTTCCCGGGCAACGCCGGGTACTTCTGCTAGTTGTAGCTATACCTTTTTTTTCTGTTTTAATTTGCAAATTTCTAAGCTATGTCAACGTGCTCGTAATGAAAGAAATGTTTTTAAATGCAATTAGTTTTCATATTAATCCTCAAAGTTCCAAGCGGGATCCATTTAGATCCCACTATAGAAAATAAACATTTAACGAAAATATGTCTGTATTTTTACTACTTTTAAATATGTTTAGCATTTTTCAACGTTTAGAACTCAAAATTGACTATAAAATAGAAATTTATCTTCCTTTTTATATGTCCATTATGAGTATTTAATATGACCTCATACCTTGATCTGCTAACTAAATTATCACTCGAAAACTTCTAAATTTTTACATAAGGATATCCAAAATGCATTAGTCTTTGTCGATTATTCTATGACAAAGCAACTGTAAGAAGAATTAAGCGAAAACATTACACAATCAAAACGTAAATGATGTTCGCTTTGTGATCATTCTAAAGATAGAAAAGTTCGAAATACATGTTATCATATTATCTCCAAAAATAATAAGCTTGGTACTCCGAGGGTTAACAAAGTCTATTATTATTTTTATAAATAGATGATCACCAAGCAGCAAATCGAATATAATCAATATCAATTTTAATATTATTTTTTTTTCTGTACAAAATCAATTCGAAATTGACATATAATACCACTCCATTTCAAATGATTCGACAAATCTAATATATATTCTTTCCATCCTTTATCATATTTTATTCAAATCAAAATATTATTATTATCATTAAATAATTCTTTATTGTTTATATTTGCTGTTACATATAAAAATTAATAGAAACATTTTATATCGAAAGATGAAAATTTATAGTTTTCGACACAAATAAAACATGATGGTATTATTCTCATTCAATTTATTTATCATGAGAAAATATAACTTCTGATATTTTATTTTTATTTATTGAAAAAAAAGAAAAGAACAATATTCAATTAAAAAATAAATAAAAATTTCACTACCATACAATACATTTCTTTACTCGACTATTTCCTTGACCTGGTCTACAATTAAATACTCGATCGAATTCAACAAAATTCGATGTAGGACCAATAACTCTATAACAATAAATTTTATAGAATTCAAAACTACAAAACAAACTATTTACCTAAATTGTCCTAATGAATGAACATCTGATAAAACACGATTAAGTGCATATGAATCAGTCATTTTTGAACACCATGTATGAGCATAATTAATAAAAAACATTTGTTCAGATGTATATTTTGAAAGACCTGGAAGTTTTTTATCAACATTTAGATTAGCTTTTGTCCATTTTTGATAAGCCTATAACATATACATATGTTTTTTTTTCCATTAATTATACAATTTAATCTACTAACGAAAAATGCTTCTCGTAATCCACCATTATCAGCAATATCTTCACCTTGTGTTTGATTTCCATTTGCCTAAACAATAAAATATCAAATACAAAAAAAAAGATAAAATAATTACAGATGAATAATTATAACCTTGATATTAATCTGTGGTACAGTAAAATTACTATACTGATCAACAATACATCTTTTACGGTTATTAAATTCTTGTATTGTTTCATTAGTCCACCATGGAATTCGGTTTCCATTCTTATCAAACTGACGACCACTATTATCAAATCCATGAGTAATCTCATGCCCAATGACTACACCAATGGCTAAATAATAAATAATTATCGAAATTTTCAATATTCTCATTTATTTAATTGAATACTCAACGATTTGAATATCAAAATTATTAAAATAAATACTTACCACCGTAATTAAGATATCTAAAAGATTTAAATATAACCAAAATATATAGTAAATAGTGATTTTTACTTTGGTGCATCTTTATCAAAAAATGGCGTTTGTAGAATACCAGCTGGAAAAGCTAAACATAAGAAAAACAAAAAAAAAGCAAAAAGACAAGAAGAGAAAATAAAAACATACTTATTTGATTTTTTGATGGTGCATAAAAAGCATTGACAACAGTGGGAGCACTAAGACCCCATGCTTTACGATCGACTGGTTTTCGAAGAAGTTGAAATTCTGTTTTTGCTTTTATTTGAAGTAATTTTAAAACATTACTTATATACGATGAATTGAATATGTACTAAGAAAAAATTTTTCAATTAATTAATTAATTAATCCTTCTGATAGATTTGGAGTTTTAATGAAACAGACTCATCAAGATCTATTTTTATTAATAATACGAATTTTTTATTATTGAGACATTGCTCACCTCAGCATATTCTGTTTCAAGTTGCGTCACATTATCACTAGCTAAATAATCCGGATATCCAATTTTTTCATCAATAGCTTGAGCCTGCAAATCAAATTTCATTTCAATTTTGACTTTCCTTCTAATCAATCTTACTTTTTCTATTGCTTTATTTTTTGACGTTACATCCATCCATATAGTTTGCTCAAGCATATCAATAAATGCTTTTTGAATGTTACCAATCATTTCATATGACTTTCAATTACAAAAAAAAATGAAAATGAAAATACAAAAAAGAAAATAAAGAAATTTTTATTTTACTTGATTTCGAGCATTATCATCAAAATATTTTTTAATATAGAGTTTCGAAACAGCAAATCCCATATTACCATTAACATAATTTCCACAAATAATCTTACGTGGTTGTTCAGCTGTTGTACCTCGAAATATATGTTGAAAATTTTCTTTTATACTTCGAAATTGTTTTGGCATATTATCAACTCGATGCATTAGAAAACGCCATAGAACATAATTTTGTAATGTGCGTGATGAAGTTCTATCGATAATTGATGAAACATTATACAAATATTCACGTTCACTAACAGCTACAATATCATTATCAACTAGAGTTATTCCAGCCCATAAATATGCTGAACGTACATAATTAGTAAAATCAAACTATGAAAACAAAAATATAACAGAATAAATCATAGAAAGAAAATGTAACAAAAAAAAAGAGAAAACTAACGGTAGTATTTAACAAATGTGTAAGATTGCCAACAGTCGTACGAATTGTTGTATTTGGTCGACCTCGTCGTTCTTCAGGTGTCCAATAATGCTATATAAAATAGAATAAATAAACATTTACAAAAAAAAAAACAATTAAAATTACTTTAGCAATTTCTTTTTCAAATGCAAATATATCATTAACATCTTGTTCAATCATCGATGCATCACTTGTTAATGCTGCTGCTAAATTATATATAAATTGTCGATAAGCAATTGTAATTTTTGATTCATTAGAATAATATTGACGTTGACCTAAACCAAGATCACTTTGACCAATCTATTGTTAATCATTTAGAAAATTACATGAATAAATATATTCTTTACTTACTCCAATATCATATTCTTTGGAATTTTTTTCATCTATTGATGTACCTATACCAAATATAATATCATTATTATATTGTCGTAATTTAAGCAAAAGATTCAATAGATTAAATGTAGAATTATCCCATGATGAACCTTGTAATATAGGCCAACCACCAAATTCTTTATTGACTAATGAAAGAATTAAATAAACTCCATCGTCTTCAATATTTTGTTCATCAATACATGAATGATATAATATACGAGTATTTGTAACAGCTTTAGGTTCATTACTATCATTACGAGGTGGTGGTGTTAATAAATCTGTATATAAATAATATTTATATATAAATTAGTATAGATTTAATCTTACCGACAACATTGTAATCTAGTTGTGTTCGTAATAAATTGAATGTACTTATTGCATCAGCTAGAAAGATTTTTTTTTTAAAACTTGTAAATTATCTTCAATATTTTTCTCTTACTATCATCGGGTATTCGAGAATTTTTAATCCATGTACCACAAACAAAATGATAAAAATCTTCGCATGGTTCGACTGTTTCATCCATACTTTCAATTAAATAATTAGCTATAATACATAAAGCTAATAACAATGCACTTTTTTTTTCAAGAAATTTACCTGCTTTAACACAATATGGACTTGTACATAATTCGTTATCCACTAAAATATAGATACAATTATTTTCTTATTGTATGATTTTTTTGATATAAAATAACAACGAATAATACCGGTTTTTTCCGTTGTTTTGCTTTTCATAGCTAATATAACAGCTAATACAGCTGTAGAAATAGCAAGAAGTCCAATGAGAATACCAAGCAATATAAAAATCCTTTTTGAGCGAGGTGGAGAAGTTTGTGGATTTTTAAGTACACTAGAAAAATAGATTTAGTTATGAATTGTTTCTTATAGGTGACGATTCCGACAAGATGTACTTCATGAAATGATTTATACCTGAGACTTTTTAATGCTCCGTCACTGAATTGAGCATTCATATTTGCAATTCAATCTAAAATAATAACTCAAAAAACTTCAACTCAGAAACTGACATATGCGCTAACAAACTCATTAATTCTTATCTTACTAGTCTTCTCAAAAATATTATTTGAAAGTGTTGTAGACATGTGCAAGAGTACTGATAAGATAAAAACAAAAGATTTACATAACGCATATTGTTTCAAATCAACATAGAAGAGCTTAAAATGTGTTTAACAATGTACAGATAAAAGAAATTTTTACAAGGATTTCAAATACAATAATGATCAAACAAATTCAAGTATATATATTAGAGCAGATAGACGCAATTAGACACAGCTTCAAAGCGCTAGATATACCCATAAAGGTTTATACACACGTAGAAGTTGCTATAGAATAAAGAATTAAATAAAAACTGATTACTCATACAAAGAAACGGTTACACACATGAATAAGGGGTTAAGTATAGGAATAAGAATTAGATACAGAAATAAGAGGTTAGACTTAGGAATAAGGGTTAAATATAGAAATTAGAGGTTAGATACAAGAATAAGAAGTTAAGAACAGAAAGAAAGAGTTATATATAGAATTTAGGAGTTAATGATACAAATAAAGACTTAGATATAGAATTTATAGGTTTAATATAGGAATATAAATTAAAGATAGCAGTAATGGGTTAAACATATAATTAATCAGTAGTACTAGACTAACGAAGGAACATTCCGGACTGATACCTACTGTTGGAGCTCACATTTTGTTGGTGACTAAGATTGATCATATATATAAAAAATCTAAAAGGATTCGTGCTATTACTGCTTGGTTTTTGAGTTATGAGTAAAACAAATGTCATGATAGATGGTACCACTATCTATGCCCTATTTTGTTTGTTCTTTTCATATCTTAACTAGGACATACTTTTCCAGTTGAATTAAATGAGATAAGCTGGTAATAAAAGGTTCAACTGAAAAAAGTTTGCCGTAGTTAAGACATGAAAGAAACAAAAAAAGTAGCGCATAGATCTGGCACCATCTATCATGGCATTTGTTTTGCTGATAACTCTGAAACTAAGCGGTAATGGCACGAATTCTTTTAGTTATTTTATACGTATCATCAAACCTAGCCACCAACAAAATGTGAGCTTGAGCAGTGGGTATCAGTTCGGAATGTTCACTCGTAAGTGAGTTGGATGGACTGCTCTGTATCATGGTAGAACCTTTCTTTGAAAGAAGAAAAAGAAAGTTAGAATAGAACCATAGAAGGTTCAGAAGATGGTACCTAAATCTAGAATCGTGAAAGATTTAGTATGATGCCTTTTTTTTAGAGAATAGTTGCTGATCTACGTTTTATTCAACCATTCTATTCAAATATGAGTCAATATCCGTTCTTTTTATTTGATGACTTAGGTCACCTTCTTCTCTTTGAACCCAATGTTTTGAATAGAAATCATAATAAAAGATAAACTTATATTTGTTACAAAAAAACTCATTGTGAATTGATAATGCATCACATCGATTAAACTTTCTATTACAGTTCGACACGATTAAATTTATTTCATAACTTTTATAGTTGTCACTCGATATTTATCTAAATGTGCGAATTACTTTAAATGTAAAATCTTAACATCTTTAGAAAAAATGGGTGTTTTAGTAGTTTATTACTTGGAACAACGCTCTTGATAGCAAATTATAAAAAACTTAGTAAGCGAGCGATGCCATACAACTCAGAAGAACTATAGTTTTGCATATAGGAGGGACAAATTAAAACATACTTGATCATTTAAGATTCTTAGAAAGTTCTATAATTTCTAATGAGGATTGATTCCACAACTGCATTTTTTTTCGATTATACCTAGTCGTTTATGATCTGATTGATCGACGTTATTCACAAATAACATTCAAGCTCAATTAACAGCTTTAGCTAGGTAAATGTTTATACAGAAGACAACTTTTTTTTTTGCTTTTTATTTATGCATCAGATAATATTTTTTGAAATGTACAGACGAGAATGGAAAAAGTGTCCAAACCCGAGCCAATAAATTTTACAGTGAATTCATCAAATTCAAATGTTCAGGTTTGATGTAAATCTAGTTGTAATATGTAAATGAGTCCATTGATACTGTGAAATTTGTCACAAAAAGCTGAAATAACAGAAATACTTCTGGTTAGCTTATAGTATTTTGCGAGTTTCAACAATGTCTCTCTAGTATGTTGTAGAAAATGTTTATAAATGTTATACGAAATTTGAAATAGTTCTGTAACATGTCCTAAAACATATTAAAATAAATTTTCGAATTTTTCATATATTTTGAAGTCCTCATTTAATACCTGAATTTCTCGATATTTACAGTATGTATTGCAATCTGTATTAGCTCTTATTACGAAAATTATCCATTTCCACTAACATCATTTGTGTCGAACGAAACTTAGAAAGATTGTACTACTCGGTGTATTTTTACGAACGGAAAATTTATAAAAATATGAAATAAATCATTTTACATTCTCGGACAAAAATCTTGTTCCCTTTTGTCTTTTTATGCTATCATACAATGCATTAAGTTTATTAGTGAGTAAAGATATGGCATGAGAGTTTTATTACAATGTGATATGTGCACCAAAATGAAATAAAACTTTCATGTCATATCTCTACTCAGTAATAAATTTAATGTAAAGTTTGACAACACAAAAGAACAAAGAGGAGAAAGATTTTTGCCCGAGAGTGCACGTCTTACAGAGGAACCTATGCATGATTTTTTTCATATATTTATTTCCTAAGAAAAAGCCAAAGAATCGCTTTTGTAATGAAATGGTCAATTTAAAATCTGAAGTTAGGTTACGTTTGCTATTTATTTATTTATTCGACACTTGATGAACTAGAAATATGAGTGATCACTGTATAAAAATTATCAACAAATTTGACAGAAGATTACATTTGAGACACTATACCTCAACAAAGCTTTAAACGTGCATTTTTGTACTTCCACTGAAGATAGATGATGACATGCTCTATCACATAACAAATTATAAGTTGAATTAAAGTTCCGGAAAAATCCGAGGAAATAATTGTATTATTGACCAGTGGTTATTTTCTTTTTGCTAAACTAAGTGTCAATTTTTGATCTTATTATAGCCTAAAGAACTTCAAGAAGTCCAAATAGTCTGTAATCTATAGTAAATACATAACACTATATAGCTATATAATAACTAATGAATATAACTATATCCTCAATTTAAAATATACATTTTACTTATATGGTTCTATTATAAAGATCATAAATCCTCTTTAATTCAAGTGAATGAGGTCGAATGAATCTTACTGATCTACATTTCTAAGTTAGTGTCTGTATGCTTAAGTTTTCGGATGTTTAGATTTTAGAACGCTGAGATTACAGAGTGAGATTACTTTCGGTGAATACTGCGTTTCTTCACTGAGACCAATATTACTATTGTCTATTTCCGACATAAATGACCATGGGCATTTTTTGAATAACTTTTAATTGGCTCAGGCTATCGAGCTCCAGGTTTCAGCATTGGAAAGAGTAAGCTCTGAGGCATCTATCAATATAATATTCACTAGGACTAAAGGTATTTTTTTCCAACTGTTTGCGCATCGTTATGTTTTTCATTCGATATTTTCATAAGTTTTTTTAATATCAGAACAAAATCTACTACTCGAATTTACAAACGAAAGCTTTTGAATATGTCGTCGATTTCCTCTTGAAAGCTACATAAGTAAATCCAAACTATAGCCTGTTTAAAAAATAGTGACCACGGCCATTTTTCGAATAACTTGAGAACAGAAACAGCTAGCAACCTTCAATTTTCGTTATTTTGCAGAGCGAGAATTACTCGATGTAGTTTCCTCTGAAGAAAGATCGACCACGATATAAGAGGGTTCCTCCAAACTGTCAAAAATATTCATTAAATTCCTAATGCTATTATATGTGAAAAAAGATAGGATAGGTGTAGGTTATATGAAATGATTGACAAGAGTCTCCGTTTGTATCTTTTTTGGTTCGTTCTATCAGTGCATTATCTTCGAGGTTCAGCACTTGCATATATGTAATTTGAAGATGAGTGGTGATCGCTGAAGAAAACCCTCATACCTACAGCCACCATCGTCTGCACAAAACCCGTCCTTAGCCATCTACAAGATCATTTCGTTTCATAAAAGACACTAAATTATCTGATGATAACCTTAGTTGCGATGAAATCAAGACAACGATACCCCTATCTCAACTTCAAGAATTTATCAAAATAATAATATGTTATTCATGACTATTTTACATCTTTTGTATTGTTCTCAAGAAGCCAGGTGAGATATGTTTTCATATAGTATATTTTATTAGGAGTAAAAATTGTGAAAAATACAAAAAGATATGAAGAAGAAAAATTGCGAGAATATAAGAAGAAAAAGCTAACTATTCGATAATGTTCATTCATATTGAAAATGGTTGCAGGCAATCTTCAATTTTCGCTTGTAATTTGTGTTTGTGCCGCGTGTCCTAAGAAGAAAAACGTAGTAAATTACATTAATTCCCATCGTCAGCTACTGACAATCGTACATACCTGTCTTATTTAAATATCTATCACAATATTTTATTTCTTATAAAGTGAATTGTAAGAGATATTAGTATACACAGATGCAATATGGCAAATGAATACTTCTAACAAGGATACTATTCAAGCATCTTGTTTAATTTGATAGCAAATTCCAGAGCCACTGATGTAGATGCAGACCATATGGTAAGTAAATAATTATAAGAATACTTTTATCCCAACATCTTGCCCATTTCGAAACCAATTTCTAGAGCTACTGATTTAATTGTAGATCACATGATAAGTGACAATTTTAATAATGCTTTTAATAAAATATTTCGCGTACTTTGAAGGTAAGGTCTCGAGTTAATGATTTTCACAGAGACTACATGCCAAGTAAATAGTTGTAAGAAGGCTTCGGTTCCAATATTTTGTCTGTTTTGATGTTTATTGCTAGAGGTACTTATGTAAATGGAGATCATATG